CCAGGCTCCTCAGACAGCGCAGGGGTGGGGTAGCCCCGGGCAGGGAGGGTGGGAGCCCCGTCCACGTCCACGGCTTCTCAGCACCCACTTCCTCTCTTGCAGCTTATCTGAAGCCCCGCCTCCTTCTTGCTGACGCTCCAATGTCTCCTGCTTGGTCTTGGCCCTAAATTGGGGCGAGCCACAGCTTCCAAGGCCTTCCCACCGGAGGAGGGTCCCCGGGGGGCTCCGTGGGCTGGAGCAGAACTCCGCCCTACACCCCAGGGCCCCGCCCGTCCTGTCCCGCTCCCTCCTGATACAGAGGCCTTCGCACCAGAGAAGGAAGGACCGCCTCCAGCCCCTCAGACCTCCTGGCTGGGGGGCGGCTTTAGCGCAGGGACTGGAAGCTCGAGGTCATGCTGACCTCCCAGGTGACATTTGTCGGGAGGACGCCTGGGACTGGTCCTTCCCAAACCTCTGCTACAGGGAGCGCACAGGCTGGGGCTGGTGTGGGCTGGCTCCGCTGGGTGGGTGATGGCCGCTGGGCTGGGTGAGAGGCTGGCTGAGCGGGACCTGCACGAAGGGCAGCGTGGGACTGAGGTGGGGATGCTGGGACCTACCGTGCCTTACTCGGGCCGAGCTGGGAGAGGTGGAGTGAGGAAGCAGGAAAACGTTGCTTCACATGAGCTCTGGCTCTTCCCCTTAGCGCCCTGTCTGGGAGCCGGACCTTTGCTTAATTTCGATTTTCAAAATAGATGCTAATCTTTGGGTGTGGAGGGTGCTGGAGCGAGAGGAGTATCGCCTCTCGGGGGCCACCTCCCGTCTTGTAGCGGTGAACGGGTCAGAGGGGCGGGTGGCGCTGTACATACACATGCTTGATTCTCACGCTGCCCACTGCTGGTGAGGGCTGTGGAATAAATTATTTTTGTTAAGGCGAGCACCTCTGTGTCCTGTAACTTGCTACTTGGAGGCCTAGTGTCCAGTCTGGACAGACTGTGCAAAACTCTGTCCTGAGAGATCCAACAAGACGTGAGTCCCCCTGGCTCACAGAGCTGCCGGCCTGCAGGGGACCCGGTGCCCATCACAGCCCCTTCCTCCTCGAGGGGCCCTCCCCGACTGCCCACAGAGCTCTGGGTGCTCCGGGCCCAGCGTCTCCCAGAGCAGCAGGCAGGCCCCAGTGGAGGTGCAGTCCCACCCCCTGCACCCCCATCACCCCCGGAACACCTGCCCAGGTGCTCTCAGTTCTGCTGGAGGCACCTTCGTCTGCACCTGCCTGGCTCTCTGGCACCCTGCATCTCCAGCTCCCTCGAAGGAGAGGGGCCCTGGGCTGGCGGCTCAGCCCGGAGGAGTCAGCCGGATTAGAGGGCCTGCCCCTAATCCGTCCTGCCGGGTTTCACAAGGATCAGAGCAGCTGATAATGAACCTCATTAAGAGGGAGCAGGAGCCTCAATCCGATTTGGGGTTTTCTCTTTGACATCACTTTGCTCAGATGGAGGGGGTGGGGTTCCAAGCATGCCCCTTCTGCTAGGGCAGCTGGGGTGGGGGTGGGGGGACAGTTGGGGTCACCCCCAATCCCCTGCTGTGTCCGCCCTGTTACCTCGGGTGGATCCCAGCCTGGAGCTGCTCTGTCCGAGGTTCCCTGTCTGTGTCCCTGCTCTAGCCATCCCCCTGCCCACTCCCTCCTCCTGGGCCAGCTTGCTCACCTCCCCCTGCCCACAGGCCCTGGCTGGCGGGCCGAGAGCCTGCCCGGCCAGCACAGTGTCGGCAAGGTGGCCCTGGCCCCGGGGTGAAAGAGGCTGGCACGGGCCAGGATGCTTGAGCACACCTGTCCCCCACCACCTGGAGCTGCTGCAGTGCCAAGGCATCGGCTTCCACGCGCCAGCCCTTAGATAAGGCCCCAGGGACCGCGTTTCTAAGCCAAGCTCAGGTATTGAGAACCGGCCTGGCCGCAGGGGTGGGTCTCCCCCCTTCGCGGCGCAGCCCCAGCATGTTTTTGCCATCCCAGCCCCTCTGATTGATACACAACGGCCGGCCTCCTCCTCAGCAGGACGGCTGCCTTTCACCTTGATTTCCCCAGGGCTCTAGGCAGCATCCAGCATCGATAACCGGTCCTCCCGCCAGCTGGTCCCCGCCCCTCCCCGGCCTGCCAGGCCCTGGCTGGGGCTTCCGCTGCCTGCTGCCTCGCCTGCCTCCGTCCTAGGCCGTTCTCTGCACCTGGGAGAGCGCCCACTCGGGAGAGCGTCCTGGGGGACCAGCACAGCAAGGGCGCCATGGCCCGGGGCGGACAGGCCCTGCCCGGGATGTTCCTACTGAGCGTTCAGGCCGGTTTCCTGGAGGAGGCGGCTGAGCTGGGCTTGGAGAGATGTGTTAGCAAAGAAAATAAGGAGGAAAAGGGCATCACAGGCAGAGGAGAAGGCACGTGCGGCCGCGGCCAGCAAAGGGAAGTAGTGAATACAGGACTTCCTAAGCAGAAAACTAAAAAGCGCTGAAAGGAGATTTTCGAAGTTGCACTGGCCTAGAAGCTGGGAATAGACAGAAGAGAGACGCGGTTCCCCCTGCTGTGTGGAGCTTACTCTCTAGGAAAAGGGAGAGGGGAAAGGATCCTGTGGTAAGTGCTCTGAAGCAGAGAGAGCAGCGGGGGCTGGGGGGCTCTCTGAGGCGTGGGAGGGCTGTAGGGGTGTCACGGGTAGGGGCGGAGGGACCACAGTCCTGAGGGCACCTTCATTCAGGAGCCACCATCAGACTGACGAGGTCCCAGAGAGGTCCCACCTTTGGCCTGGCTCTTCCCCCAGCAGCCTTGGCACCGGGTTGGGGGTGAGGAGTGGGCTCCAGGGGACCCACACCGCCTTGGGCCTGGAGGGAAGTCCCAGCAGTTGGAGGAGGAGGAGGACACCTGGCCCGAGCCCCTGGCTGCCCACTGACCAGCTGGTTCTACTCCTGGGTGAACCGCGAACCTCTGGAGCCTCAGTTTCCTCATCTGTAAGACGAAGGCCACAGGCTGGACTCCATAGTCCCTACGGTGCCTTTTCCTCTCACCGTGATGCCGGCTGCTCTGCCGTCAGCTCAGCGAGGGGCTGTGCCTTCAGAGCCTTCCAGAAAGGACTGCGGCTGAAGGGGATCACAGCTGTGTGGCCTGAGCCCCACAGAACAGCTATGAAGGGGAAGGCTCACATGGCTGCAGCCCCAGGAAGAGCACCCCAGAGGCCTCTGCCCCTGCACGGCCTCCTGTCCTGTCCTTATCCCCCCTGCCCCCCCAGCCCCCCAGATGGCCCCTCTTAGCTTCCAGGTTCAGGGAAAGCTGCAGGGCAACCCGTCCCTGCCCTAGCACCTCCCCTCCTCCGCCCCTCCCACTTCAGGGCCAGCCTCCGATGAGGACAGAGGCTCATCTCTGCCCACACACATTCACAGCCCCTCCCACCCTAAGAACTAAATCGGACTCCAAAAAGAATAGTTTAGTTTTTACCCCTGGCCTTCTTGTGGCCTGCCCCCTCTCCCGTCCTGTGTCTGTACCCGCTCTACACACACACACACACACACACACACACACACACACACACACACACACAGCAGTGCAGGCCCTGGCTTCTCCCCCGTTGTCCAGCCTGGAGGGGGGCGGTCACTCACACCCAGAGAGAAAACAACTGCCCTCTCATTCCTCCCACTCCCACCCTGGGCCTGGGCCTGGGCCTTCTGATTGGGCCCCGGCAGTGCGGTCTCCTCAGTGGAGAGAGGCTCCCCGCACTCACTCGAGACCCCAGTTCCTGGAGCCCAGGTGGCTGGTCATGGCAGAGGAGGACTCCTTTCAAAGCTCTGGCCTCTGCCCTGGAGGAGAGCACCTCAGGGAGGGGTGTGACAGGCTGATGGTCCAGGCTCTCTATCCCTTCCCTCCAGATTTCACCTCCGCCCCAGTGGTGGTGGTGGCCGCAGTGGGGGAAGAGGGGGGCAGGTAAGGGTCACAGACAGGGAGGAGAGTGTCTGAAAGTCACTGGGCAAAGGCAAGGGACCTCTGTCAACATGAGGAGATAAAGCTCAGGGGACAGGCCACGGGGCACTGGGGGTCATTGAGATCGACTCGGGTGAGATCTCCCTGGCAGGGCTGGCCAGGGTCCAGGTGCTTCTACGGTGAGAGAGCCCAGGCCTTCTCGGGGCTGTGGACCCGCCAGGAGAAAGCGGCCCTCGGTGCTCTGTTCAGCCGTCCTCCATCACCTGGCAGCATGGCTTGCCTCTCGCCCGGTCGGCCTGGAAGCTTCTGCCGCTGGGGTGGGGGGACCACCTTGTCTAGCCTGGATCTGCTCTGCCGGGTCCCCATCAAGTTCTCAAACCTCCTGGCTTCTGGTGGTCAGAGTTCTGCTTTGGAGCAGGAGGAACTGTTGAGCAGTGGATGCTGGGAATATTGATTATTTCGGGAAATTTCAGCTAGGATCCTGCCTTCCCCCAAATAAATCCCAGTGATGTAAAAAAAATAAAGCATAGAAAAATATAACTGAGTATTTTATGCTTTTTGTAAGTATTAAAAACAATGGAAAGTCTAGCTCAGGTGAGAGTTTGATCTACTTAATGCCAACTTTCAAAAATAAGTTAAAAACAAAATCAAGCTACATTTAAAAACTGGGAAAATATATATGTATATGCCGTAAATATGACAAAAGGATACGACTATTACAAAAGATGCAATCTTAAAATGAGATTAGTTTGCAACTATTGATATAAGATGTCCAAGGATACATTTCTATAAACAAAAATCTATTTTTATTACAATATTTATTACTAAATATATTTTAATAATGTAATTATTAAATGTAATTTACAATGCTTTAAGTGTGCTTTTTGCTTTTTTTTTCTGCAAAAAGCTTTATTGTTTCATTTGGTCCAGTGCACGGGAGAGGGCTTCGGGGTGGTTAAAAGAATGGCTGGGGTTTCGGGGAGAGGCTCAGGCACAAGGCAGACACCAGGGGAGGCAGAGGGGCCCCTCACAGGCCTCGGGGCTCCACAGGCCCCTAGTGGTGCTGGAGGGGGAGCCTTTCCTAGAGCCGCTCGCCCGCCCGGCCTGGGGCCGCAGCCTGCGGAGGGAGCCAGGTGTGGCCCATCTTCTTGATGCGCTTCCCCTCCTCACCCGGAAGCGGCTCTGCGGGAATCAGCGCTGAGCGTCCCGGGGGCAGAACCAGGGCCTGCAGGTCCACCAGGGCCTGGTCAGGTTCCTCCCCAAGGCCGGGGCGGCCTCCCTGGCGCCCCGAGTTCTGCCCACTCACCTGGGGAGGCCTCAGCACGTCCTGGGGGGGAGTGCAGCCACCGCGCTGGGTTTGCAACTTTAAGAGACGCTCAGAGCCCTGGAGCTTCTCCGCCAACTCAGGGAAGAAGTGGCCCCCGCCCTGGAGAGCCACATCCTCAATAGACATAGAAGCCCAGTGAGAGGTAGGTGTGGGCGCCCGCAGAGACAGGGGGTGCAGGGGGGCCACTCGGTTGACCGCAGCCTCCATGTAGGTGGGATAATTCTGACGGATCTGGGAGCTCATGGTTGTTCGGCGGCGATAAGGGGTTAAGGAAGAAAAAAAGCCGGTGTGTTGGCTGGTCCCGGAGGTGGTGCTGAAGGTGGTGACTGGATAAGACGCAGGAGGGTGGCCAGAGGCTGGAAGAAGGGGCGTCCCTGGGTCTGTTCCGTCCAAACACTGTTGAAGCAAGAGGCAACTCCAAGGGCCCTATTAAAGGGTACATTATAAAATGTAATGTATTAATATCTAAATAATGTAATTTATAGCATTGTTATATGGTTGACCCTTGAACAACACAGGGGTTGGGGAGCCAAACCCCCATGCAGTTGAAAACCCACGTATAACTTTTGGTGCCCCCCCAAAACATAACGACTCATAGCCTACTGTTGACAAGAAGCCTTACCGATAACGCAGATGATTAACACATATTTTGTATCTTATATGTATTATATACTGTATTTTCACCATAAAGCAAGCTAGAGGAAAAAAAAATGTTAAGAAAATCATAAGGAAGAAAAAATATATTTACGGTATTTATTGAAAAAAAATCCATATATAAGTGCACCGTGCAGTTCCAACCCATGTCGTCTAAGGGCCAACTGTATGTATATGTTAATGCTTGTCTAGAAGAAGTCTGGAATAGACCCCAACTATGCCAGAGGGATATCTACACTGTGAGGTTGGGGTGGACTTAATCAGGGCTGGGACTAGAATGAGGCAAGGGAGGTGCCGAGGGCGCAAAATTGAAGGAGACACCCTCAGGGGCAGCACGGGAGAGTGAACTTGGTGCCCAGATACCTCAGGCCTGGCTCTGACTTAAGTGCTTAGGCACATTTTTGAATCTTTGCAGCAAATATTTCTTTTGAAAAAAAGTAACAAGGAAAAGAAATAGGACTTTAAAGTTCCATTGTGAATAAGTCAAGGACTAAAGCCCTATTGAAAAGAATGGGCCAACGCAGGAAAACCAGGTGAGAAATGCCACCTTCTCTCTGTCCTCCTGGCAAAAATGAAAGGAAACAAGACAGTGTTCGCTGGAGTGAGGGGACATGAGCTGTATGCTGTTTACTGCTGTGTTTGAAACCACCACAGTCATTCATCTTGCAACTTGAGCACGTGGCAGCATGGCGCCCTGGCTGTTGTCTCCTCCCCCAGCTCCTCGGAGCTCCCCAGGACAGGGACGGTCACGTGACCTGGGCCAGAGCTTCTCGGAGTCTGAGTTTGTCTGTAAAGAAGGTGAGGTGTAGCAAATAGCACCAGCACGTAAGAGGAGTTCATCGTATGTTATTATTCCCCAGGGCCAGGGATTGGGATAGGGATGGACTTCAGAGACCCAAGCAGCAAGGACACCCAGGCAGCCGATACCCCTGGAGTGGTGTGATCCGCAGTGGAAGTGGCCTGGCGTCCTCGGGAGAGAGGGTGCCTTTCCATGGAGGGACGTCCTACCATCTCTCAAAGGCAAAACCACTGTGCTTTCCAAGACCTCTGTTCGTCTCAAAGTCCTTTTGCCTACTTGGCTCTTTTTAAAAAATTAATTCTGCTTATTGTTTCCAATAGGCAGCACATGCTTAAGTATTAAAAAAGTTCAAAAGGACAGAGAGTGAAATGTCTTCCTCCTTGCTCTGTCCCCAGCCACTCAGGTCTCCTCCCTGGCAGCCTGTGGTACCCCTAGCTGCCTGTGGGCCCTTTCAGACCGATTCTATGCAAATACAAAGAAAGACACACACTCTCAACACCTTCTCCATGGTGTTTTCTACACTTAATGCTACACCTTGAAGACCCTTTCATCAACGGCTAAGTCAGTTTTCCGGGGGAAAAGAGCAAAGTAGGGGGCTTGTACTCTAAGGATTTTTAAAATTATATATATATATATATATATATATATATATATATATATATATATTATTTCAGAGAGGGAGAGAGAGAAACATCAATGATGAGAGAGAATCATTGATTGGCTGCCTCCTGCACAGCGCCTACTAGGGATCGAGCCCGCAACTTGGGCATGTGCCTTGACAGGCAATCAAACCGTAACCTCCTGGTTCATAGGTCAACACTCAACCACTAGGCCACACCGGCCAGGCAAGAATTTCTTTTAAGTGTGATTTTACCATAGGAACAAATAAATGGACCAATGGATCCTAGGAAAGTTCAGAGGAGGAGCCATGAATATGTGGAAATGTGAGCTCTGATAAAGGTGACATCATACATCAATGGGACAGTCGATAGTGATGGGACACTGGCTCACTATACAGAGAATAAAACAAAAACTGGACCTTGTACCAGAGATGGACTCGAGATGGATGAGAAACCTAAACATGAAAGATAAAAACTATAAAGCCGATAAAGTAAAATGTGGGAGACTGTCCCTGCAGCACAGCAGTGCGATAGCACTTCTCACACGGGACCCCAAGCGCTCAAGCATTGGAACGAAGAGCTTCTGTTCGGGGGGATTCCATGGGCAAGTGAGCAGGGAGATACAGGCCGGGAGCAGATATCCGCAATGCCCGAAACTGCCCTTGTCCTCATCCACAACCCTGTGGGGAGGCCTGGCAGGCCATTGTCCTCGCGGGTCAGGGAGGGGCAGGGCTGGCAGGTGAATAAATCGGATGACACGCCGACAAATGGCTGTGTCAGGCCCGCAGCCAGCGACCCCCAGCCTAGGGGGAGGGTCCAGTCCTGGGTGGCTCTGAGACCAGTTTCCCTCACAGCTGCCACAGGTCAGGCCATGCGCATCAGCCCTGAAGTGTGTGTGGTAAAACGGGCAAATGACCGTGACAAGTTCCGATTTCCACCCTCCAGGAGCAATTCCCCGGGGCCTGGTCCAGAGCGACAAGTGTGAAATGTGGCCTTCACGGTGAATTACCGGCCAAGGAAGCTGTCAGCTCCAGGCGCTGGAGAGAGGGGGGCCGCTCTGTTTGTCCCTGGGCCGTGGCCTGAGCAACGCTCTCTGTCACCACTGTCCTGTTTCTGTGACCGAGAAGACGGGATCAGTGTTGTGTGTGTTGTTGTTTTTGTGGGTGTTTTTTGGGGGGGAGGGGAGACTAGCTACAGCAGGCCACAGTCACTGATGACCGGACTGGGGACATCTGTGGGAGTGCCTGTCCTCACTCGTCGTCGCCCTCCGGAGGAGAGCTTGGGTGGGTCTGTCCTGAGGGGCAGTAACTCGGAATAGAGTTCTGTGTGTCCTGCCCTCAAGGAGGGTGGGGCCTAGAGAGGGGGACCCCCGTAAGGAGCTCCATCGCAGTTCAGCCTGTGGATAGATGCCCCCGGACAGCCGAGGTGCTGTGGGGCCCCAGCAGGCACCTCCTCTTCAGGCGGGGAAGGTGGGGGACATGCAAGAGGAGCAGGGGTTCACCAGGACCAGCATCAGGGGCAGGGGTGGGGGAAGGAAAGGGGTGAGGAAAAGCCCTGACAAGGCCTGAACAGGGGCCTGAGGAACAGCCTGGAAGTCCAGCCTCGATCCTGCAGGCAGGAGGGCTGGTGGGGGTTTTAACAGAGGACACAGTCTCAGCTTTGTTGTTGGTGTTAATCCTCACCTGAGGATATTTTTTTCCATTGTTTTTAGAGAGAGTGGAAGAGAGGGAAGATGGAGGAAGAGAGAGAGAGAGAGAGAGAGAGAGAGCGAGAGAGAGAGAGAACCATCCATGAGAGAGAGAGACCCATCAATTGGTTGCCTCCCCCATGCATCCTGGCCTGAGCCAGGATCGAACCTGTGACCCTCTGGTGCATCATTGATGTTCTAACCACTCAACAATGCTGTCCAGGGCTCAGGTATTTTTTAAAAAGATATTCCTGGTGTGAGAGGTCCAGGCTTCAGGGGCAAGTTCTCCTCGGCCAGTAACATGTAAGTAGGACTTGTGGGTCCCCCGGGTCTCAGGGTCTCCCACTCCATGGGCCTTTGTGGGTGCCCTTCTCCCCACCCAAAATTCTTCCCCACCCAACTCCTGTCTGGGTTAAATGTCACCTCCTCTGAGATAACTCCCCTGACCCTCCTCCCTCTGTAGGCCACAGCAAGCCCCCTCCTTTCTCCCTCTTGCTGCTCCCATCACATTGCTGAAGGTGTGTGCTGACCCCTCGGCCTCCCCCATCAGACTGTGAGCTCTGAGAAGGCGAGAGCTGCATCCTGTCCATCCCTGAATCTCTCTGTTTGCCACCCTGGCGGCTCACTTGGTGGCTGACGAATGCGTGAATGGCTTCCATGCTCACCAGTAAGTAAAGCACCTCCTGACTTTGCCAGACTCACCTCCTCTGTCCCAGGCTGACGGGCTGTCTCTGCCCGGATGCACGCAGCATTCCAGGGAGAGAAGAGATACTAAAAAGTATTAAAAACATATAGTTCCTCAGAAGCCCCATAGGACTTGTGCCTTGGTGACCCTTTGTGATGAGCTGCTGTTTCACACCAGGCCAGGGGCTTGCTGTGCGGGGTGCACAGACGTGCATCTGCAGGGAGGGGCCGGGCTAGAAGTCCTCTCAGATGCTTCCAGTCTGAGGATCTGGGCCTGAGATGCCAGGGGTGCCGGAGGCGGGTTAGGAGGGCCAGGGAAGAAGCAGCATCCGGGGCCTGGGCCAGTGCACTGGGGGCTCACCGGCAGGGACCCCCCGACTCATTCCAGCCACAGCGGCCGAAGCAGGAGGCCCGTGTGGCGTTTCCTGTGCCTCGGGTCTGGGTCCTTATCCCAGGCTTTCCCTTTCTTCCTCAGCTCTCATCACAGGGACCACGTGGCTTGTGTAATAAAGTCTGCAGATCGCCCCGGGAGAGCAGGAAGTACATAAAAAGCCAGGGACCATTAGGGGTGAGCGGGAAGCAGGGTCCTGACAGCCATAACCTTGAGTCTCTAGCCCACGACCACACCAATAACGGGGCCGACAGCCTAACCAGGCCTGACAGGCCACCGGCGGCCACTCCACTGCCCAGGGAGGCATCGCTCGGGCTCCTCCCCATCCCGGGCTGCAGCAGCGGATTCATCAGAAACTCCCTCCCTCTCCATCCGTTCATGGAGCAAATAACTATCAGACACCATCAT